AAACATATATATATATATATATATATATATATATATACCTTTCAAAGAAAGACCTAACAGAACTTACAAGGCGAAGTAGGCTTAAAAAAAAAGAATAAATAATAAATAAATAAAAAGAAACATACCTTAACACGGAATAGGGGAAGAATTTCAGGTATTCCAATAAATATAATAATACCAACTATGTATTAATTGATTATTACAAACTATTTATATTTTTAACATATTTTATAACATTATTACATAGAAATTCAACGAAATCTTGTGAAATACCAATCATCTCGCTTCTACAATGTAGCTCATTTGGCAAAGGGGTAAGGTGATTTTGCCCAAATACATAACAGATCTTGGGTTCAATCCCAGCGCCCCCCCCCCCCCATCCGGCGAGCCTTAATTAACCGCTAAGTGAGCCAAAAAACGCCTCTCACATTGGTATCATTGGAGGCAGATCCCGTGTGAGAGTGGTTGAGGTTGTTGGTAATCAACTTTTTGTCCAAATACCAACCATCACCATGAGATTTGAAAATCTTATGTGGGATTTCAAATCCACAAAATCTTTCAAGAAATAGAATTCAATCCAGATCTAATTCAACCTTATAAATCAAACGGGGCCTTAGGTTAATGTCATTTATTATAGACAAAATAAACCTAAATGAACAATTTATTATGAACAAGATTGTAAATTTGTCTGTTTACACCTCAAAGATAATGTCTCGGTTTTATCAAATGATATGAGAAGTTTATTTTGTACTATTAAGACATGACAACAATATACAAGTGTTAGATTCAAACTTTGCAAGTATGACCGAAGTATTTATACCTTTTTATTGGTGAGTGTGGCGTAATTTGCAACTCTAATGACGTTGTGGAAATCATTATCTGATAGTTGTCATGTTTTGGTACCAAATATGATCTATAAATTGTGTAAACAATGTTTTCATGGACATTGACTTGACCAAGGTGGAAGTTTCAAACCCAAAGAGGGAATTAATCTTGTTCATTTTTCTAAAAATCTATTTAAGGAGTCAGAAGTGTTCTTGGAAACAACTTATCTACCACTCAGGATGTGGGCGAGATCTGCAAATATCCAACCTTCTCTATAGTATACCTCGTGTGGGATTTTGACGGGTTCGTTTAGCTTGGTTTGGGTTTTACAAAGTTATTGTGTAGATGCTATTTATAAATTATACTTTCGTCGTTTTTTTTAAACAAAAACAGTCTTGTCAAGTATTCAAAAAAATCCTATCATCCTTTACATTACATAAATGCATGTACCATGTTACAAAACTAAACTATATTTACACATGTATATTCTTTAAATGGAGTCATTGATCGTTCATGCTACGAGGCGGTTTATCAAATACTTACCGCGTAAGTGCTTATCCGTGAGAGATATCGGTGTCATTTACATTATTATGTAACATTATCGGTCATTCAAAATGAATTTTTGATAAACGTCTTAAACCCTATAAGCACTTACTGGGTAAAAGTCATTTCTCTCACTTACAGGTAAAACTATTGGTCCTTATCATGCCTCTTGTTGAGTAAGATTCTTGGTTCTTGTCATGCTCAATCATACGTAAGTGATATCGATAAACGATTACCCAGTAATCATTAAATAAACGGCCCTGTATTATTTCTTCATTTTTCTTGAGTTCTTTTTGGCCATTCCATAACATAGTTAGTGTAAAAACCAAATCCATATATAAATGAAATAGTCCCTTTTGATGTAGGAATGTACAAAAAATCGTCAAACCATTTAACTTGCACACCCAACCGGTCAACAACCCAATTAAACCTAACCCACTAAACCTCCAACCCGCTAAATCGCCAATTAAAATGGTTAAAATTGGGTTAGCCTAGCTCAACCTAAGTCAACCTGCCACTAATATATATATATATATATATATATAAAAGTTCGATAAAATTTTATTTATACCTATACATAATCTATTATATATATATATATATATATTAATAATGAGTAAAATTTTATATATTATTTGCTGAGTTCATGTTTGTAGTTCTTTTTAGCTATATTTATAGTATAAGTTATCAAAAGAGATTCACCACCAAAAAATATGACAGAGTATTGGAATTATTTTTACAGCAAGAACAAATGGATGTCTCGGAGAACATGAAGGATGCTGATAGATATACTTGGTTGACGAATCTATCACACCAAAACTACTTCATTTGATGTTTTACTTTGATGGAAATAAAATGCTAATAGTTATAGTATTTTAATACAACAACATTAGGTTTTATAAGATGCCTAAAATATATAAGAGTCCTAATATGATACTTTATAGGATAAACAAAAAAACTTCCTATATAAAAATGTTGCAGTATGTTTATACGACGCTTTTGGTGTCTTAACATATTTTATGACGCTTTTCAAATAAATTGTCGCATTAATAATTCCATATGACATTAATTGAATTAGTTTTACATTAACACAACAACCTTATAAATAGATAGTTTATAGGACATCTCTCAAAAGTGTTATAATAAAATAACTAATACTAAACTTTATTTAAAAAGTGTCCTAAAAAACTTGTTTAAATGTTCAAAAGCGTCATATAGACATATTGTAACACTTTTAGATATGATCTTATAATTCGGCCCCCATAAACTTAAGTCTTATAAATTATTTCATTCGTAAACTTTCTCCATTGGATTTTCTTTAGAGAATTTGTTAAACCAAAATTCCTAAAATATTTTATTTTTATATTTAAAAAAATTACATTGTTGATGCTATAAGAATCCTTCAACATTATTTCTAAAAATAGAGGAAATAATTTTTTTTATTTAATTTAATAAATTAAATAATTTTGAGTTTTTTGTTTTAAAAATAAAATATTGTTGATGCTATAAGAATCCTTCAACATTATTTCTAAAAATAGAGGAAATAAAATATTTTTTTATTTAATTTAATAGATTCTTTATATTGGTTTTTGAATAAAATAAAACAAAAAACTCAAAATTTAGAGGATTGTCTAAAATTTGATATAAGTAGAGAAAAAAATTTCCACAAATTAAATTGAAATATTATTATTTTATATATTTTTTAAATTGTGTATGTGAGGATAAAATTATAAAATATTTTAGTAATATAATTGATATAAAGTAATCTAAAATAAAGAATGTGTTAGAGTTGCGTGCAATTATTTTATATTTTAAGAAAAAAATATAAAACATTTGATAGAACAGTTTGGTTTTGTGGGATTTGGAATTGAATTCCATTGCAATTCTATATTTAATTTGAGAGAAGTTTGGGTTTAAAATATCAGGATTTCATTGAAATCTACCAAAAATACGAATTAACCTATAGGGGTACTTATTATTTCACATAAGATTTATTTATAATGATGTTTTAAAATAGTTTTATAATAATTAATTATAAAAAAGATTATTTAATTACTTTCAATGTGTTCTTTCATTAATTATTATTAAATGAAATTCATTTTTGTACCAAATCTATAAACAAAATACAATGAAATTCAAATCCTCTCAATTTTAAATGTTTATATTAAATCTAAATCCATTAAAAACAATCCCGTCACACCAAACGAGTTAAAAAATGCATTTTGGTTGAGAAATCTAAGTGCATGTTGTTTGGATCGTTTTTTTATTAACCTGAATATTTAACTCGTTACGAGAGTTGAGTAGTCTCAGAGTGACAACCTGCTTTGTGGGTAGCCCGGAGTTACCGCATTTGAACCTCTGTGACTACATGAGGATTTTTATTACCCCTTGAATTTGAACATGAGACCTCCAGACAATTTGATCTCTGGAGCCAAAACTCAAACCAATCAGACACCACACTTGTGGTTATTGATGATCCTTTGACACGTCCTTATGATTGCATGAACCGTATGTGTTAGGCGTGCGCTGATGTGGCATGTTTGTATTTTGGTTTTTACCTTTAAATTACAATGGCAGTTTAGAAAATTTTAAATGTCGTAAATTGAGAAATGAAAACTAAAAACATGATGTACTTTTACGAATTTTTTTAATTGGGTCATGAAAGTATAATCTACAACATGAAAACTAAATATAAATAATACATGTGTGTTTTGGACGGTTGGTTTGGTCCAGACCGTCCAAAAATCAAAACACATACTTGAATGGACTAAGTGGTTTAACTATTTACTCAGACTAGACTGAACTGTCAGACCGTTCAAACTGCTAAATAATCCGATTTGATTTGCCTTGAATGGTTCAACGATTTTTTTTAACCCTAAGCCCCAATAAGAATCAAACACGATATTTACATTGGTAATATGACTTGATAAGTTTTTGCCTCGTTCTTATCATATAAGATTATTGATATTTAAAAAGATTAATTCGATAAGGTAATATGACTTGATAAATGTTTTTTGGCGATAACTTAGAGAAAAAAAAACGAGTTTGATTATTTGTTAAAACAGTGTGTACATTGAATTAAAATTTATTGGGGGTGTATTTTATGTCAAAAATAAATATCCATGCATTTGATGGGCGACTCTGCCAACTGAATCCATAACTATAAACGCATTTGCTTCCATTTATTCGGCAGGGTTTTAACGATTTTCCATCATTCATCGTCGATCATCAATGGCGAAACACGAAGACCTACCAGTTCCAATCCAGTCAAAGCTCGAATCAGTGTACGGTCTTGGTTCACAACTGGAAGAAACACAGCTTCGCTTCTCTAATCTCAAGTCCAAATTCGTCGAGTTCTTTGGTCATCCTCCCCATATCTACGCTCGCTCTCCCGGTAATGTTGCCTTAGTCTTGAGTACTTCTGTAAACGAAAGTTTATGATGTGTTGATGATATTTACATTTAAATGGAGAACATGGAATGTGCATTTACTAGTTGCCGCTGTTTATGTCCGGACTTGCAAACTTAATGTCATTTGCTTAGGCTAGGGCTAGGAAGGTGAAGAAGAGGAACGCTGATTTAGACATTTTAAAAAGTAATTGCAAATAGAATATTTTTTATATCAATTTTGTATGTGAAAAGTACTCTCTTATTCCAGACCAGGGAATTTATGATCAGTTCTTAAACAGCAATAGAAAAACAATATGGAACTTTTACTTCTCAAAATTCAAAATCATCATGTTAAAACAATGTTTTGATCTAGAGGTTCCCTGAACCTTCAAGAAAAAAAAAAGTGATTCCCAGCTGGTTTGGTCACTTAACCACAATCGGTTGTAGCACGAGTGAGGTTCCCTGAGCCTTCATTGAAAAAATGTTGTGGATGACTTGGATAAGAGATAATCAGAAAGTTTGTGCTTATTTGAGTATGATGTTTTTAAATTTATGTTTAGGGCATGAGTGTTTAGTGAAATTGAACTATGTGATGTTTTGGATGTACTTTAGGAAGAGTGAATTTGATTGGGGAGCACGTTGACCATCAGGGTTATTCAGTGTTGCCCATGGCGATCAGGCAAGACACAATAGTGGCTGTTCGAAAACGGAATGCAGGGGAATCTGAAAAGCTTCTAAGGATTGCGAATGTTAATAGCAAGTTCACCATGTGTACTTATCCTGTTGATCCCAACCAGGTGCATTGCTTTTTGCTTTCAAGATAAGATAATAGTTTGTAGTTTTACGGTCTGACCATGAACAACATGTTATGGGTCTCCTTTAGCATGTCTTCTTTCAACAAGTGCTTGCATCATCTTCAAGATTACTAAACTATTTTTATATTTATATCTGTAGATATGACAGTATAGACATAACAAATAATGAATTTTATTTTATGCCTACACATATTAGATTCTGAGGTTTGACAAGCTAATGCCGTATTACTTTTGCAGTCTTTTGTGGTATATTGTGTTCTAGCTGCATGCCTGCAGCCAAACATTTATTGCTTGTTGTTTTTTTATGTTCATAACAAGTTACTATTTTCAGTACTGACCATTCTGGCTGTTATTTAAATGGCCTGTGCAATGTATTGCATAGAGTTAGTTTCTATGGTAATTTTGAAAAAATTGTCATCTCCTAAGGAGTTTCAGTCATTCTAAGACACTGGCATTTGTTAATTTGTTTGTATAGTTGACCTTATTATTTTATTGGCAAATATTGAAGAGCATTTTGATCTTGTTTTATAATTTCAAGCGGTACTATTTAATTATAGTTTTCATTGAAATGAAGAGTTATTTAGTAATTCTAGGAAAACACAGCTAGATTACTGCAGATATAGTCATAATTGCACTCAGCCTTCTAAAGCTTGTTAAGCCTTTTATTTACAGCAGTAACACTTCTAGAAAAAAAAAAAAAAACTAGATTACCATGCATGTAAATATAAATGTATCTCACCTACTAGATCTGCATTTTGCTTTTTAATCTCATTTTAAAAAGCATCCTTCTATCTGTGAAGGAACTTTATTACTATATTTTTTTATGCAGGAGATTGACGTGAAGAATCATCGATGGGGCCATTATTTTATTTGTGGGTGAGATATTAACAATTTCTGCTAAAGTTTGCTAGTTTATAATATTCATGACATTGTTTGGATTGAATATATCAGAGTGCTTCCATGTGATACAGAAATTCTAAACTGCTTTGAAACGAGACACATTTCTTAAAGGGCCTATGACACTTTAACTAATGTCCTTGAGTTTAACATATATAATCAGGGTTATCCGATCTGTGTTTGCAACTTTGCATTCCCGTGACTATCACACACACACATAAATATATATTGATAACTTTCTAGTAAACGGAGAAAAATCATTAAGCATGTCTTGTTTCGAGGGGTGAAAGGTGCATGTGGGGTTTTCGTACGCGGCTTAAAGCAAGCATTTCATTATCCTTGTTATCTTTTTGTTGCTTGACTACTTGTCTGCTCTGATGGACAATTATATAGAGTGTCTGTTGGAATTTGTGTGAAAGTTCTGGTATTCATTACTATCTTCCTTCTAACATGATGCTTCGTTCGACATTCCTTGTAGCATTGAAGTGTGCCAATCAGGGATCACCTTGAAAGTTGAAGTTTATAGAATCCCCCAGTGTTATAATATGCTTCTGACTCATACTCAGCAAAGGCTGAAGTATTAGATTGCTCCTAGTTTTGTAACTGAGTGGCCCTTCATCAAGTACTATATTGAAACAGTTTCTGAGGATGAAAAGTTCCTTGAACTTTTCTGAAGTAAAGTTTGCATGTAAAATATGTGCAGGATTACACAACAGAAACTAATGATGTTTACTCTGCAGATATAAAGGTTTCTATGAATATGCTAGATCAAGAGGGCTGGATGTCGGTTTGCCAGTTGGACTTGATGTTATTGTTGATGGAACAGTTCCTGTTGGTAAAAAATTTGCATTTAGTCACACGCCAATTAGTTTTTCATTTCTAGTGTTTATATTAGAAAGTTAGCCTTTGTGTTATAGATTGATTTCTTTCTTGTCCATACAGGGTCCGGGCTATCAAGCTCTGCAGCACTTGTCTGTTCTTCTGCAATTGCCGTGATGGCTGTTCTTAATGTCAATCTTCAGAAGGTATTCTGACATGTCCTGGAATTGTCAACATTGCTTATCTGATGCTGTAAAATTGACAAGAAAACTTTACCTATTGCCATGATTAAGACTTCAGTTTATGCTTCATACAGTACGAATCTGCTATTTTTCATTGAATTTACTTTTAGGAAGAATAGTTTGCTTCCTTTGGTTGACTTCAGTTTTTGTATAACTTGATGCAGAAGATTAGGCAATAAATACATAATAAGCTACAGACTTCTTTTCTCCTGAGTGGTTTACAGTTAATCAATCAGACTTTAGCTCCTTCATTTGAGAACTTGGTTAACTTATCATTTCCAAGTGTGAGCATAGCCGTAGAAATTCCCTAATCATCTCCATAATGTATTTTGTTCTCATATTGTGGTTAGGTGACTATTAGAGGGAACAATCTGACACAGATGAAGCTTGAAGTAATGGATTTGCATTTTTTACTGATTTAAACTAATGCAAAATGTTTCACGTTTTTGCTTGTTAGATTTGTTAATTGAATCTTATATTTATCAATTATCTCATTCAACCTTTTCTTTTTGGTAACCATGGGTGTTCGGGTCAGTTTGCGTGCACCTGACCAATCCCATGGGTGATGGCCCTTGAAGATAACAGCAAAGAAAGTCATCAGTGAGTCAGTGACCCCGAGGAGACTCAAATTGATGACCTGTGGGGAGGAGCAAGGCCTAAACTTTATTTGTCAGTGGAGCTGGCCCTCAATGAATATGATAAATGTGTATGTAAACCGAACTAGCAATTGCAGTGAACATCCAAAGCATAAGAAAAGAACACCAGATTTACATGGGAATCCTTTGGGAAAAAAAACATGGGAAGGAGAAGAATAACACCCAAACCAGTCTACCAGATGTCTCTCTCAAAAATTGAATTTTATGTTCCAAGTTCCTTGAACGGTTTCCCATTAATACGATCTAAAAATTTAGACATGAAACAAAGGAGGACACCTGCTAGAAACCACACGGTTTAAGCCTATGCCCCTTGGGTGGTAAGATACTTTAAAATGAAGTTTGTGTTAGGATCAATAATCACCTACAAACAATAATAATTGCATGAATCATGGTATGCACGCGGGTTATCAACTTGTCTATATCGGAGGGCGTTGCCAGGATTTTACTGCATTAAGAGAACTCTATAATAATAATAATACGAAGATGAAGGTTGATAGGATTATTTTAACTGTCATTTGTAACTATTTGCTAATAAATTTAGGCCGCAAAGTCATAGATCGGTCCAACACGAATTAGGCTCCATATCCTACCAGTTTGACACTAAATGCCTTGAAAGCATAGGCCTCCTTGGGGTGAGGCTCTGTTTCCCTGACCCAAAGTTTGTCTTGGCATTTGATGAAGCGTAAGGCTATGCAATATCTCCGAATTACTCACATCTGACCAGAATTAGGACACATATCCAAGAAGATGAAAGGCATATTTTGTCTTATGGCACTTCTTGAAATCTTCAAATGCCTACAAATTTCTTTATCTGATTTCAACTTTTATTTATCACAGAAAGAACTTGCTCAACTTGCATGTGAGTGTGAAAGACACATTGGGACTCAATCTGGTGGCATGGACCAGGTAACTCATAACTGATCCATTTTATGCTAGTAAACGCACTTGAAGGTTTTTACAGGTTTCCCTGTCTTCCTTCTCCAATGCTTGAGCGTTCATATATTCCTGTTAAAAGTAGTTCTCCTGAGTAACCCTGTCACTTTGAAATCAACTGTCTGCATATTCAAATGCAATTAGGAAAGATGGTTGAGTTTCACTCCTCATAGAAAAAATTACTCCCTTCTTCCCAAAAGTAACTACAATTGGTTAAATATCTAGAATACTATTCAATAGTTATAAAATAGAGGAATTGTGTAGACCAATGTAGTACTCGACTGAAACTTTCTAGAAAGACGGAAATGTTCCATTATGTTGGGACATCCCAAAAACCAAATGGTTGCAGTTAGATGGAGTATATCAGGATACCTGGTAAACTTGTCTTCACTTTAGGTTGAGTTCTGAGACAAACCTACATGATTTTATGTAGATTCGTGCCCATGAATCAATTACCTTATGAGTGATTTAGTTTTACTTCTGATTTTTAGTTGTCTATGCCTCCTGTCTCCTAGTCATAACTTTTGTCTTTTCTAAACAGGCAATATCCATCATGGCCAAAATTGGATTTGCTGAACTCATTGATTTCTGCCCTATTCATGCAACTGATGTGAAACTTCCTGCTGGTGGGTCTTTTGTCATAGCCAATTCCTTAACCGAGTCAAAGAAAGCCATCACTGCTGCAACAAATTACAATAATCGGGTTGTCGAATTACGTCTAGCTTCTGTAAGATTCATAATGCTCATCTCATTCTGTATTGTTGTTTTCTGCTGTTTTGAATTCCTTTCAACTGGACTTTTTTATACATGCAAAGTGGAAAGGTCACCTCAATGAATGGAAAACAACTTATTTACACATTCCGAAACTCTTTTTGACTTCCTTCTGCAATTTCTTTATGTTGCAGCTCGAAATATAGCTAATCCATAAAGTTAGTCATGTTTTGCCACATCTTATAAAACTGAAGTCGGCCCACTTGACATGATTTGATGGCAGATGGTGAATGAAACGACTATAGTTGTCTTTAGCTCTGTTAAAGATGGATGATAACACAAAACTTAAACATGGTATTTACATGATCAACAATTTGCTTACACCCATGGTCATGGCTGGCTTCTTACTGCAGAATTCATAATTTGATCGTACCTAACAAAACAAAGAGGCTGTTTGTTTTATAGTTGGAATTCAGACAAAAGAAGGACAACACCCAATAACTGTCTCCTTACACATTTGAGCCACCCTACAAAAGATGACCTGTCCTCCCATTTCAATTTTTTCTTGCAAAGTTATTTCTTAATAAAGATTGTTTTTTGGGGAATTTTCCAGATTGTACTTGGCATAAAGCTTGGAATGAAGCCTCAAGAGGCAATATCAAAACTGAAAACACTTTCTGATGTAGAAGGTTTATGCACATCATTTGCAGGCACTCATGGGTCTTCTGACCCACTCCTTGCTGTTAAGGTATCACTCTATCTGTTTTCTCTGTTTGATGAAGCTAGGTTGGTGCCTTGATTATTACAGTTTACTGGCTATATTGCTTAAATCTTACACCCTACCTAAACGCTAAACTCAAACCATAAAACCAAACCCATGGGGGAATAAATGGTTAACATGCAATCAAATTTCCAGTTGGCGTAAAAGTTATTCAAATCATGCATAAAATAGCTATATCATGTGAAAAGTTACATCTTGTCACATGTACATGGATGCTTAGAAATTTATACATATTTTTCACTTAATTATACCACTTTTTGTCACTTGTAGAAATTTTTGAAGGAAGATCCATATACAGTTGAAGATATTGAGAAAATCACAAGTGAAAGCTTACGGTCAATATTCGCTAATTCAACTTCATCGCTGGATGTGCTTGCAGCTGCTAAGCATTACAAGTTATTCCAGGTATATAACGTATGCCAAATAGAGGTTATGATTTTATGGACTCCCACACCAATAATAATACTTGTAAAATCCTACGTCTGGGCTTACACAAGCAGTATTCCTTGTGGCAAAGTGAAAAAGTATTAGATAATGTTTGATAGGGGTGAAAGGAAATCAGAGAAATGGGATGGGAAACGATTCTCGTAATTCGTTGGTAATGAGTTATGAGTGTAATAGATGTATGTATAGTTTAGGGTCGTTTTATATGATTAGCTCATAGTGTAATCTAGATATTCTTTCCCCCTTTTCTTCTTAGCATGTAAACTCTTCTATGGCTTCTTTTTTTTTCAGTAATTCAATATACATGCATTTCTTCATGCTCTTGCTTGCCAGTCTCATCTAAATCGATGAAGCTAATATATTCATCTCTATTGTAAACCTATCTCTTGGCATCATCTTTTACCATAATCAACTATCTCCTGGTTTCCCTGGTGTTCTGTCACCGACACCTCTAGTCTGCCAATATTTGGCCATAATCAAATTAAAACACTACTAATACCTTGTGAAATCATGCTTAAACCGTTCCTGGTTCGAACTTCCCTTGGTGATGCTTGTGTGAAATCAGGGAGCAGACCCCTCACGGTTCCAATTTCAAAACGCTTCTGGTTTGAACGCCAATTTGAAAGCTACCTCTGTATTCCCGAACTCTCCATGGGTTTTATTTCTATTAGTTTAGTTATGCAATATGGGACTCAATTTTCTTTGTCTGGGGGTTGTGTGCAGGATCACCACGACGAATCAGATACTATATTCCAGAAATATACATCAAAACCCAAACCACATTTACTTCTATCAATGCCAACAAATCTCAAACTCTTTCCATCCATCTCATCTGAAGAGAACACCCTCATTCCAGGCAGTTCTACCATGACTTTCCGAAAGAAGAAGCCTTAAAAGAGTTTACATGCTAAGAGAGAAGAATCCTTAGAAGAGTTCACATGCCTAGAAAAAAAGGGGGAGAGAATATCTCGACTACACGAAGAGCTAATTGCATATAAGGCCTTCTATGCAATTAGCTCATAGTGTAGTAGAAAATCTTTTCTCCTTTTTGTTCTTGGGCTTCTTCTTTAACAATTCAATATACAGGCATTTCTCCATGCTCATACTTGCCAATCTTATCTAACTCAACCAAGCGAATAATGTGAATGAAACAAGGTACCAAAGATTTGTTAATTTCCCATTCCACTTTCTTGGTAGTTCGCGAGATAGACTCTGAGAGAGAAGAAAACAATTTCATTTCTCATCTTCAATTTTCTCTGAGAACCGTACAAAAGTCAAAAAAACATAAATATAAATATTTGAGATCCAAATACTCATTTCATGAATAGCTTGAAGGGTTAGTTGACAAAGTTTTCCACAGAGAGCCTATCACGTTTACTCCGAAGCCAAGCGTGTATATGTTTTCAAGGACGTGGTATCATCAAATTCCACGTGAGTTTGCTTCTTCTGTGCTTCTAGTAAATGTAAATGAGTTTTCACATGACTTGTATTGTAACAAAAGATTCCTAAAACCCATGATTTTGGGGCGGACAGAAGCCCTTACGGTCAAAAGATATTGGAAGTAACATGGAAAGAATTTTTGCAGCGAGGAGGAGAAGCTGAAGAAGCTTGGTGACGTTATGAATGATAGCCACCATAGCTGCAAAGTACTGTACCAGTGCAGGTATTAATCTACCGTCCTATTGCTTTTAGAACACAAAAAACATGTATCTGTTAGAATAGAGTCAACATTTGACTTTTTGGGAGTCATGTTATTTATTTTCTATTTCAAATTTGACAAACATATGATTTTTACATAGAAAAGTTGGTTTTGGCTTTGGTGAGACTTGAAAGTTGAACCTCAGACCTCCAGGAAGACGGGGTTATCGGGTACCGCCAGGCCAATGACCCTTTGATGAACAAAAACTGATGATTAACATTAGCAAGATCACATATCACTTCTTGTTTTCTTGGTATTACCTTTTGAAATCGAATCTTATGTGCTCTTGATCCTTAACATAGTTGTCCAGAGTTGGAAGAATTGGTTAAGGTTTGCCGAGACAATGGTGCACTTGGAGCTAGGCTTACAGGCGCCGGATGGGGTGGCTGTGCGGTTGCGTTGGTCAATGAAAGCCTCGTCCCACAGTTCATTCTAAATTTGAAGGTTAACTACCCCCAACCCAACCCCCTTCTTGATACTTAACCGACTAATCTCTACAAAAATGGAAATTTACTTATTGCAGGAGCAGTTTTATCAATCTAGGATCGACAAAGGCATGATAAACAAGAGTGATCTTGGCCTCTATGTGTTTGCATCGAAGTCGTCGAGTGGAGCTGCCATTTTCAAGTTTTAGGTTCTATATATCCTTTTTGTCCTTGCTTTAATGCTCAATTTAGCTGTATTTCGTTAGGGACAATGATCATGTGATCATTCTTCTATCTTATTAGGGGTACATAAACTTTTTTGAAATTTCATCCAATCCCAGATGGGTTTGTGAAATCCAACTCCATTGTTTCCTGATTTCCATTTCAAAGAAGGTGCATGAGACCAACTATATTATGTGGTACGGAATGTTGAGTAATATGGAAGGTACATGAGAGGAAGATGGAGGTGGCATAAATCCATTCATTTATGGTTGCACCATGCCAGATAGGATACAGAACGAGGTATCACAACCATAATTAGGAGTAAAGTCTGCCTCGAATAAAATGAGAGAAGGAAGACTATGGTGGTTTTGACACTTTTGGTTGGAGACAAATGCTGGCACCAGTAAGAAAGGTGGAGAGCGTTACAGTCGAGGGGTGAGGACTCTGTAGCCCGAGGAGGACGTGGAACGAACAACAACTGAGGTTAGACATGACGATTTTGGACGTTTTTGAGGACATGATCCATATAAGAATTCGTGGAGAGCAAAACTAAGGTGACAGATTGTGTGTAAGGGCTCGAGGCTAATAGGGACATGGGAGTGACGAAGAGGCAGTGGATGGTTAGAGAGCCGACAACTAAAGGGCCGTTTACCAAAAAGTTTACCGGTAAGAGCCACTATATTCACTAACCTTACCGGGTAAGAATCTTCACCATCAAAACAACGTCATATGCAACAATCTTACCCGGTAACCGCTTATTGGTAAGAGTCATTACCATCAATTACGGGATAAGACTCTCATGCCTTGCCTCTTACCAGGTAAGATTTTTGGTCATTGTCATCTTAATTCGGTAAATAAGTGATCCAGTAAGTGTTTACCTAGTAAGATTTTTGGTCCCTGTCATCTTAATTAGGATTGTTTGCTAAACGCCTACCTAGTAAGTGCTTACCGGGTGAATATGCCAAGTGCCGAGAATCTTACACGGTAAGAGCAATGACAATGACTGAGAGTCTAATCCTTAAGTGAGGGTGATAACTCTTATCTGATAAACACTTATTGGGTAAATTGTTGCATACAATATCATTTTGATGGACTATAATCTTAGCCATTAAAGTAAGCTAGAGCATTACATAAGCATTTACCGGTAACTGATTGGTTCAAATGACCTTGGATAAAAACAACCATTGATATACACATTTTAAATCCATAATAAATTGCCAAACTAATTTGATAAAAACCGGTTGATAAATAATAGAAAAAGTTCAATTATACTATAGACGATAGGCAACTAGACTATATATGGTTATTGATATTGAACATTTGAAGCCATAATTGAAGGGTGTGGCCCAACCTTAGTTCTCCACCGACCGACGGTGCATGGATTCAAATAATTTGGATATCTTTTGGTAGACCCTAAAAAATCTCTAGATTAAAACATACAAATAATTTTGCATCACTACAAATCTTTCATTTTTGTTTCTTAGATGCACCATTATTTATTTTGTACCATATGCATTTTCAGTTATGAAAATGTAATATATCATCTTATTATTAGTAATGGATTTAAACCCTTTGATTACAACTTATAAGATTATACATGTGTAAGATGATAAGATGGTAAGAGGCGAATATTTGTTAAAAACGTGTTCTTGTTTGATTTTTTTTTGTTGCTGATTGTCATTCTCTGCAATACTTGAGATCAACATTTCATAAGAGCGTTTCCAATGAGTATGATAAAACACCAAATTTGATGCAGAGATGCAGAAATCTCGCTTCAACCAGGATACAAAAAGTGAGTTAGTTTTTTATATTACTAAATACAATGACTCATAAGTCATTGTCCATTTTTTTTTCTTACAATTTTAATCAAAAACCAAAAATTATTGTTGTTCATATTAAACCATCTTATTCCAGATATTAATAAAAATTCTTAAATCTTGCATCAAGACAAGTGAATAATATAACATGATTACTCCTTACATTCATTTTAGCTCTTTTTTCTATCTAATTTTTATTTTATACCTCTTTCAAATTTCAATCTATTCACATAACTTATTAAGTATTTAACAATAAGAATCTTGATTATTTTACATAAAAAAAAATAAAAGATACATAGATTTAAAAGTAAATTAAACTACAACATCAATTGAAAAGTAATATTAATAGATGGTAATGTAAAGTGGGTGTGTATATGGTATTTAATAAAAAAACTATAAAAGCTTCACTTTTAACTCTATAATTAAAATAGTTTACTTTTCATTGAAATAAAAAATAGTTTAGTTAAAACAAACTATATATGAATAATATAACATTAAAAATTAGTGGAAGAACATTCCAGGAATGTTCTTCTTTCCATTTAGGTTGTTAAAAACCTGTTTTTATTAAAATCAAGATTATGTTTGATAAATTAACAAATGATTGGTAAAATAATTGATTATTGATAAGGTAGCTGATGATTGATAAAGTAACTTATAAATAAATCATAGTTGGTAAAAAAGATCTAGTAAATATGTAAATAACAAAAGAGGGTATTTTAAAAATTAGGTAATTACAATATTTTATAGTATAATTAAATAAAATCTCGTATAAATAAAACAATATAATATGTTGATTAAATGAATTTCAAATTGACTATTGTATATATATTATAAATTTGGATTTGTTAAATCAAATTTTAGAAAAAACAATTAATTTGTGATTTTAAATAATTATAATATATAATATAAATAAATTAAAATTGGTAAGCCTTACATATTCTAATGAACTAATAATTTTTTTAAAAATATAATGAATAATTGAATTAAATATCTATACTATATTATAAAACATTTGACAAAAACTCTTAAAAACCATTTTTTTATGCATGAAGTACTGTTTATTGATGCATATTACTTAAATTCAAGATTACAAGTAAAATATGCATAGATACAACTTATTAATGTTTTATATTTGAATTCGTGTAACTAACTGCAGATAAACATAATCAAATAGAGGATAAATATCTAATTTTAAATATAAAAAATTTAAAATATAATTAGAATAATCATTAAGTTTTAACAGAATACTTAATTATTATATCTATAAAAAATTATATAATTAAACGTAAATTAAATTATTTTGTTACGTTAAATTAAATTATAATAAAAATTTTGAATTGAAGAAATTATACAAAACAAAAACTTTTAAATAGTTAATTTGATACTAATATTAATATAGTTTTTTCAATATTTTATGATATTTTATTCAAAAATAAAAATATTATCGTTTTCTCAAAACCACATAAAACTGTATCATATCAATGTAGATAAAGAATGAAATGAAACGTTGAAATCGAGATGTGTCTCGATGCATTGCACGAGTACCCTTCTAGTTTTATTAAAATCATTTAACACAATTTTATTATCTATGAAACAAAATAAGTATAATTTTAATTTTATGTAACTCACATGAACTTGTTATATTTGATTTTTGATAATAATTAAAAAAGTAATAACATGGTTAATAGTATTCTAGATAATTAATCATTGATATTAATGTGTAATTAAAACTAATTAATAACTAATAATTTTCAATTAATGTTAGTTGATATTTATTAATATTACTAACACTTAACATTTATTTATAATCAATAGTAATAAATAATAATTAATATTGGTGAGACTTATAATCGGAGAAAGTAAGAATAAGCTCCAAAACGTTATTTTAACTAGTATTTTAACAAGTTAGCTTATATCAAAATAAGATTCAACTCTTAACGATTCAGATGTTGTCTCTTAATAGAATTATTAAGAGATAAACAAACAAAACCCCTTAAGGAGTTGTTTGTTTATCTCTTAATAGTTTTTTTAAGAGGTAACATCTGAATCGTTAAGAGGTGAATATTGTTTGGCAAAAAAAAAGTCTGTCTCTTAATGGTTCTAAAGCTCTTTGAATAATTTTGTATCATGGGTCTCCCTTAACTATTTAGCGCCATAATTTTGTTGTAAATAATTATATTTCATTTTGCATTATATCATGAAAGTCTCTTAATTATTCTGCACCAAATCATTCAACAACTGCTAAACAACCCTTAAATTATGGTAGCAAATTACGAGTTAAACAAGCTCATCAGGTTTTAAATGACATGTTAAATCAAACATTGCAATTTTTATAAAAATAAAATAAACAACATCACAAATTGGTCAACAATTAATGAAGCATTGACATATAGTTTATAATGGACAAAGTAACATGCAATTTTATGGATTAAAATCGAACACACAAATAATTACTTATAACAAATAAATATTTAATTTATATAAAAAACTTATTTTTATAAATAAATAATGAAAACCGTTATCATCATCATCACTAGCAAAGCAGGTGCGCTGGTCTCATTGATATTTGATACAAGTTCACAAGATGCTAAAAATCATTAATAGCCAAACTATTATTCAAGACATTATTAATTTAATTTAAAATGCATATACAAAGAAGTAGAAATATCAAATGTGGTATATAGATATATAAGAGGAAGATTCAGGAAAAAATCTAAATAAATGAAAAGCTGAGAAACATCATGTTAATCATTTATCTGGACGGTATGCATATATACACACGAAAAATCGAAGTTGTTTCTTGGTTTTTATGCACTTGTGCATATTATGCACATGTGCATATTATGCACATGTGCATACTGGACAAGATGTTTAAATTTACCGGTATGCGCATGTGCATACTGTACAGATGAACGGTTATCAGAATGTTCTTTAGTTTTTTCATTTTTTTGTGATCCCCCCCTCTCTCTCTCTCTCTCTCTCTCTCTCTATATATATATATATGGAGGTTCAAACGAGAACCCCCGTGATTTACGAAAACGCAAAACAATCCAATAACCTCAAACTTTTTTAATTAATAAATTAACTTTTATTACATATAAATAATTTAATAAGGACAGTAATGTAATTAAGTAATTTTTATAATTTTTATTTTATTTTAACTAACCATAATTATCCTATCACGTTTCCATGTTTTACTCTTGTTAGTTTTCTTCTTCTTCATATCACATGATTACACCAAAAATTTAACTTATCAACCAAAACGATAACCCAAGTGATGTATAACGATGATTATCAGACCCATATCGCATGATTACCACACTAAAAATTTAACTTATCAACTAAAACGATAACCCAGGTGATGTATAACGATTATTATCACACTCATATCACACCAAAAATTTAACAACGATAACCCAAGTGATGTCACATGATTATCACACCAAAAGTTTAACTTATCAACTAAAACGATAACCCAAGTGATGTATAACGGTGATTATCACACCCATATCACATGATTACACCNAAAATTTTAACTTATCAACCAAAACGATAACCCAAGTGATGTATAAGGGTGATTATCACACCCATATCACATTGATATCACATGAGTATCACAACTAATCGATTAAAAACTTGTCCAAAACGAGTAATTGTGAAAGATACCTTGAATAAACTTCTTCTTCTTGTTCGATTGTTGCATGCAATCGATTAGGGTTCTTGTCGATTAGGGTTGTGTGTTCTTGGTTGATCACGGTTGTTTTGCGATTTGATGTTATGACTTCCAAATCTCCTTGAATTCTTTAACCATTTATTAGATAATTATAATAATGATTGTGTAATCGTGTTAAAATATTTGATGATATCATTTCTATTATTACCCTTTTAATTTTAATATTTTTTGAATTTTTTTAAATTTCAATTTAATTTTAAAAATCTTAATTTTCTTTTTTATCACAATATGAGGTTATTGGGTTGTTCTCGCGTTCTCGTAAATCACAGAGGTTTTCGTTTGAACTTCTCTCTCTCTCTCTCTCTCTCTCTATATATATATATATATATATATATAAGATGAATGGTTTAAACGAGAATCTCAGTGATTTACGAAAATGCAAGAACAGTCTACCAACCAAGTAATGGGATAATAATCAAAATTAGGGATTTTTTTAAAATTTAAATAATATTAAAAATAATTTAAGCAAATTTGAGAGGTGGAAGAGTAATCTTGGAATTCAAAGTGATAATATTTAAACAACACGATCACAAAAGACTCCAATCATCTGAGAACTAATAACATCATCATCTATGGTGGTTATCTAGTAGACCATTGTTATAGGAAAATGTTTCATAAGTTTTCTGGAAAACAAAGAGTGCAATAGAGGAGGAAGAAATCGAACCAAAAGAAGTTTGAGAAAGAAGTTTGCACGGATATTTGATTTAAGATTTGCTTATCACAACTTTATCACACTTAGAATACGAATCAATCGTCGCCGCTCGATTAGAACATTGTTTGGTTCGATTATCACAAGAAATAGAAATCCGATTACACATTGTTCATTTCGATTAGGGTTCACGTATCACATGATTATCACAGCCAAACATGAATCGGGTATCACAGGATTATCACAAGAAATCCGACTACACATTGTTCGGTTCGATTAGGGTTCATGTAGTTATCACACCGAAATACGAATTGAGTAGCACATGATTTTCACAAAAAATCTGACTACACTTTGTTTGGTTCGATTAGGTTTCACATATTACACAATTATCACAACCCAATCGTGTATCGATTATCACACGATTATCACTGCCCAACCAGTAGGGACTATCACACAAATATCACCAAATACGAATACACATTGTTTGGTTCGATTAGGTTCATTTATCACACGATTATCACCGCCCAATCAATATCGACTATCACATTGTCTTCAAAAAACAATATTCAGAAAAACCCCCTAGAACCGTCCGAATAATCATGACGATCACTTGATCTTGTACAAGCATCGATAGATTCCTTACCGACAACATTCGAATCCTCCATTCTTGGTCGAAAAAAGAATTGGATACTTCGAATATCATAGATTTCGAATCTTCAAATACGATGGGGAGAAAAAGATGGGAACAAATTGATGGACGTTCTATTCAACATGATCAGATGTCAAGCTAAAATCATGAGATAATTCCAATTAATTAAAATAAGATAAAAATCATAAGAAAATATCTAATTACATTACTACCCTTATTGATGATTTTTTTTAATAAAACTTAAATTATTGGTTAAAGGGGTTTGAGACCCACAACTGTTCTTGCATTCTCGTAAATCTCATGGGTTCTCGTCTGAACTCCACACACACACACACACACACACACACATATATATATATATATATTATTTGGGTCATGAATATTTATACTATATTATAAAGCATTTGACAAAAACTTTTAAAAACAAATTTTTTATGCATGAAGTACTGTATATTGATGAATATTACTTAAAATTCAAGATTACAAGTAAATTATACATAAGTACAACCTATTAAAGCTCCATGTTTGGATTCATGTAACTAACTGTGGATAAATATAATCAAATAAAATATAAACATCTCATTTTAAAATATAAAAAATCTAAAATATAATTAAGAAAATTATCGAGTTCTAATAAAATAATTAATTATGAAAATTACATTATTAAACCAAATATAAATTATATCGTTATTGAACCTAAATAAAACTATTGAATTAAAAAATTACACAAAAAATATTAAAATAAGAATTTTAAATAGTTAAGTTGATACTAATATCGATATTTTTGTCAAATTTTTATGATATCTTCAAATTTATATTTTGTTTACGAATAAAAACTTTATCTTTTTTTTAAATCACATAAAACCATACTATAACATCGACTGAAATAAAAAATAAAATAAAATATTAAAATTAAGATGCATCTCGCTGCATTGTGCGAGTATCATTCTAGTAATAATTAATTAAAATAGCGACATGTGGTTTCATCTCTTAGTCATTTATAATCGAAGATCAACAAAATGTCATTACGTCAACAATTTGCGCATGAGCCAAAGTGTAAAAAAAGTTTAGAGACCAAATCCATAAAAATAGGTATAGGTAGGTCCACAAAAGTTGAACTAATTTATCCTTGTACTTGCGGACTTAGTTTATAATTTTTTTTAACACTTTGACCCATCTGTAAATTACAGACCTACCACTTATTAACCTAGTGACATTTTGGTTATTTTATAAAAAAATAACTAAAAATTAAAATCAACATCAACTATTTTAATTAATAGCTTATTAGTACTTATTTTATTCATTCTTTATTTACTTTATATATACATACAATTTATTTATCATTCTAAAGCTTCCAACTTCTCCAAAGAAACGTTTTTAAAACATGTTTATTTTATACGATAACGAACTTTTCACATACAACCACCGATTCTTCATAAAACGTTTAAAATAAAAAGTATTAAATTAAATCAAATCAAATCAAACTTTTAGCAGCTTCCCGGTTGTCCACAAATCCTTAAAAGCCCTCGTGTTGTATACCCAGAATCAGAACCAGTCGCTCTCAATCCCAATTTCTTCATTTCTAGCGCACAATCAAATACAAATCCTTCCATTACTCTCATATTAGATCTGGGTTCTCTTCAATTGCTAGTTATAATGAAAGGTGATCTCCAATTCCATTCGTTTCTTTCGTCAAATAATTTCGGTTTCGTTGCTTTACGCCTTGCATTTTCTGGAGATTTGAATTATACTGCACTCAATTTTGTTCCTAACAATTGGGTTTTGGTTATTGATTTTATATAATCTTATAAAGTTTGCTTTCTAATTCTATACCTTACTTTGTGTTCACTAGTTCTTTGACATTCGTTGCTTTCTTTTGTGGTTGAAAGCTATAATTGTTAGCTTAATTAATCGCCAATCTTCATGTTCACGTTAAATTTAAATCTTTTAGTTTGATTATTTGTTCAGTTTCTTCCGAAGGTTTTGCATTTTAGACAAGTATTTGACCAAAAGCTCGCTAAAATGCACAATTTGAGGTCCATAATGTATTTGTATGTTGGTTAATTTGATTAATATTGAACGCAAATGGTCTAATTGAATTGATGAACCCTTTTTGTTTAGGTACGCAATGCAACAACGTGTAAGGTTTTTCTCTATTTCACCCTAAAAGTTGTGATTAATGCCAGCTATAATTTGTTCCTTGCTTTGTGGTTACTGTTAGTTGACATTTTTAGCTCACAGTTTAATTCAAATTGTTCACATGAAGGCTCTCTTTTACCATCTATATATGATCCTAATTGTTTTCTTCCACTTTGCATTCAGGATTTTGTCTCCATTAAGAGCTTTTGAGCTTCAGAAGCATAAATTTTGTAATATAGATTTGGGTAAGTGTAGAAACTCTCGATTACGAAGATTTCGTTTTTAGTTTTGAACCTAGGAACACGAATCTTGTTTACTTATGGTTCTATATTATAATTTTATGAACTTGAAGTGATAAGAAAAGGGAAACAAGTTATCAGAATTGAAGTTTGAATGGATCATTCGGGTTCTGGAGAACAAGATGCTGATATTGATCTTGAGAGTGGTGTTGGTGCAATCCATAGCAATGAAGAGGGAAGCCTGAATCCTGGTTTGGATGAAAAACTTGCAGAAACGATTTTCTTGAAGTTATCTGACCGATATATTAGTGTGGATGATAGTTCAGTTAAACCAGGATCAAATCCAAATGAGGGTTCTCCAGAGAATAATGTGTTGATGGAGGGAGAAACGGTTGGAAATTCTTTGGGAAAGAAGATGGATCAAGAGAAGCGTAAAAAGGCGAAAAAACCACCAAGACCCCCTCGACCCCCTAAAGGATTTTCTTTTGATGCTTCTGATCAGAAGCTCATCAAAGAGCTTGCTGAACTTGCTATGATCAAACGGGCGAGAATTGAGCGCATGAAGGCACTCAAGCTAAAGAAATCCTTAAAGATTTCATCATCATCATCATCATCACATGGCAGCTTATTTGCCATGCTATTTACCATCATCTTCTTCCTAGTGATACTTCTCCAAGGTAATCAATTACTATTTGCTCAAGACTTCGTTTTGTTTCAGAACCTGCTTTACATATCTATGTTACAATTAGTAGAACGTACTAACAACTCCGGCTACTATTTGGGCGGTGATACCTCAGAAGTTATAGGTTCAATCCCTTTTTCGCTTTGCTGATGTAGATAAAATACAATTTGTGAAAGATAAAAGATGAGCATAGGGAAGATATTGGTATCTCTTATCTTTTGACTTAATGCCTTTGTTTTCTTATGAGGAAGGGAGTAATAATTTGTTATGTTAGGTCCTACATGCAAATATGTTTCTTCATTTATAGGCTTTTGATTTTTGGCATAACATTACATGTGACACTGTGCTAGAAATCCTTAATTACCTGATAATTTCTACCTACGTGGAAACAACCTCTCTGTCTTTTAGGTCTGTGTACATCCTAACCCCATATCCTACTTTTGGGTGGGATATACTGTGTTTGTTTTGTTTGGTTTGATTTGATTTATGCAAATGGGTTCCTTAAATTTGTGGGGTATTCGAAAATTGGCTAAACATTGCATGTGATCCACGAGTGCCCATAAATCCTTAACCACCTGAATGGCTCCTACCCTACTTGAAAATAGATCTAGAGCCACACCAAAATCTTTAATAGTACATCTTCCCCTTTTTGGCTCTTACTCAGTTTTAGGTTTTTTGTTTTGGTTCTTCCTTTTACACACTTTTCCCTGGTGAGGGGTCTTTATAGAAACAACCGCTCTACTCCTGGGGTAGAGGTCAGATCAGTCCGGGTGAGATATGCTGGACTCGTTTGGTTTGGTTTTGGTTCTTTCTTGAAGGCCAACTCGGTGCACTAGGGTCACTTGGATATACAATGGTTGGGAATGGAAATCCAACTTTTCCTTTTCATTTTTTGCAAAGATGATGTTTTTGTGATTCTAATATATGACCTTGTAAATCATAAAGCTCTATACTCTTAAACATATAATATTTATAATAAGGCAAAACTCACACATTCTTATCACCTATGCTGAGGTTTGAACCCTTGACCTCCAAGAAGAAGGTTGGGATCTACCATTAACCTGGGTGCCATTGAGTCATAATTTTTGTATTTGGGTTTTAAATTATTTTGAAGTTATAGGAACTTTTGAACCAAAGCAATAACCTTTGCAATGTATTTTTCAGGCCGAAACTCAGGTGCAAATTTTCAGGGTTCTCCTCAAACAAACGAAAATGGTTCCATATTTGTGCAAGCTCAGTTAAATCCATCCGCTAGTGAGTCCATTTCGCCCATTCCGAAATCTTCAACACTGTTTTAAGTTCATCAAGGGCTGCCACATGTACAGTTTAAAGGTACCTTTCCGTGTGAACCGTAATTGATACGTTTCGTGAAGCCAAACGATGATCAAGTTCTATGGTGTTTTTGGGTTCAATTGATTTCATAACATCCTCTCACTTATTTTGATTCAAGTGTTCCTATCAAGAAGAGCTGTTTGTGTTTTTATATAAATATACTTTTGAAATAATAAATAATCCCTTAGATTACTTTAGAAAAAAAAGAAGTCGACTCTGGGATTGTTGGAAACAAATGGTGAGGTGACGAATGACTAATTTGGCTACATGTGTTTTTAGTGGTAAAAAGACCATTTTGCCCTTTCATCATAAAGTCAAATGGAACTTGCATGTGCATATATGCCTGTATTGTGATTTATGCCTATCCAAATATCATAAATGATACATTATTTACAATCAGAAGGTGATCGGTACGCTGTCCTGTTCTGTTCTAGGTAACAGAGCGTGCAAATCACTTTTTGTAGAACGGTTGAAAAAATATCATCTGAAAGCTCTTTTTTTCTAACATCAACCTAACATATAGTTCCATAAGCTCGTATTAGCTATTAAAATGGTAGATTTGTGACTGATCAAGTGAACTCTGAAAGCTTGCTTTGTTTTTTATCCCTATATTAAAAATTAAATAAAAATATTTTAAAGATACTTTATTTATTATAAAAGGAAAAAAAAGGAAGGATGATGATAAAGGGAAAAATGTAAGGGTGTTGATGGAAGTGCTAAAAAGCAACATTTGTCCCACCGCCTCATCTTTCGTAAAGTAGCACGTCGACAACCAACACCACCTTTTATCCACCCCACTATTCAAATCAATCAATCCTTAGTGATTGTTGATAATTGTTAAATGATTTGATGAATAATGATTAAGTGGTTAAAATGATTAATAAGTTCTTATGATATAGGGGGTGTTTGGGATTGCTTATTTAAAACAATTTATGTATTTTTGTAAAAGTGCTTATTAATTTATGTGGTATCAAACCGGAGTTTTGTAAAAAGTGTTTGGATTAGCTTATAGCGGTACCAAACTGCAATAAGCTGATAAGTTGTTTTTTAGTGTTTGACAAATTTTACTTATATCTGTAAAATGACCAAAAAGGACAGGGAAAAGATTGATGTTGTTATCTGGAGAAGGGAGAAGATTGATATCGATATTATCTAGAGGAAAAGAGATAGGTATAAAGGGTAATAGGGTTAAAATGGTAAACTGGTAATAAACAGTTTTTCATAAGTCATGACGGATTAACTTATCAAAAACTGCTTATTACCGGTTTGGCACCGGTATAAGCAGTTTTATTTTTTCTTATCCAAATACTAGGTATTAGCTTATCACCGGTGCCAGACTGAAATAAGTCAATAAGCAGAGACAATAAGCAATCCCAATCACCCCCATAGTATAAAATAATGAAATTAGGGTGCTGAATAGTTAAGGGAGACTCATGATACAAAATCATTCAGATGATTTTAGAACCATTAACAGACAGAGTTTTATTTCACCAAACAAAATTCACCTCTTAACGATTCAAAAACTGTCTTTTAATGAAACTATTAAGAAATAAACAAATTTATATTAGAATCAGATGACCATTATACATTGAAAATGTAAAAAAATAAGTTTTGATGTTAATATTGATTTAGAACATCTTTAACAAATATGTTATTTTTATTAAAGATTTGAGATGTTATGTTAAATTCTTATATATATAAAAAAAGAAATCTTTATATATAAAAGAAGAGAGAGAATTATCGAGAAATTAACCTATTTAACCGTAATTACTATCTTTTTCTTAAAATATAGCCACTTTTTTTTTTTTCAAAAAAATCAAAATCTTGTAAGTTTGACACCACAAGCTACCTTTTGCTTGCAGTGTCAAGCTTTTTTCTGACATATTATGTGGAAAAAGAAAATTACGTTTTCCGAGGGTAAAATCTCAACTTGCAGTGATGCAAGCCAAATTTAAAACCGCAATCTAACTTTTGGTTTTTTGAAATCCATGTTTTTCTGGTCTAAAAGAATGGATGGAAAGAAACTAAGGTGGCGTTTGTTTTTTAAGAGGTGCTGAAATCTGAAGTCTGATTTCACTTCTGATTTATAAGAGGTGGTTCTAAAGTCTGAAATCTGGATCAGTAAAATTGTTTGTTCTTACATCTGAAGTCTGAAATCTGAATCTGTCAAACTAATGCAAAAATATAAAAGACAAATAGTTTTTTTACAAAGGTATAAAAGATAAATAGTTTTTGCTAACAAATCTCTTTCAACCCCCAAAATAAGAACCATTTGATATAGGGCGTTTATTATTAAGAGGTATTAAGTGATATGTTTACCACTTAAATTTCAGAAGACAATTCGAGCTTTTAAGCTCTTATTTTAGAAATAAAACAAACGCTCTTAACATCCAAACGTCTGAACGAATCAGACTTCAGAGGTATTAAGAGGTAATTTTGAAAAAACAAACAGACCCTAAGAAATCTTATAGAAATCTCTATATGATGATAAGTAAGGGGCCGTTTATCAAACACTTACTTGGATAAGTGAACACCAAGTCCTATTACCTTACCGAATCAATATGGTAAAGAACAAGAATCTTATCATGTAAGAGGATGACAAGGACCAATAGTCTTACCAGTAAGTGAGGACGACGATTCTTACCACGATAAAAGCTTACCGGGTAAATTGTTGCATACAATACCGTTTTAGTGGACTAAAATATTACTAAATGTTGAATTTTATCAGTAAACGTTTATCGGGTAAGTGTTTGATAAACAGCCCCTAAAGAACATGCAAATTTCTAAACCTAGATATAGCAAACTGCATTACCGCAAGTTGCGGTTTCACCCTAGGAAAAATAATTTTCTTTTTCCAAAGAATATGTTTGAAAAAAATCTGACACTGCAAACAAAAAATGGCTTGCAATGTCAACCTTGCGGGTCAACGGACAAAATTGAAAAATAAATAAATTTGATGACTAATCTTTAAAAAAAGTAATCCAAGATGATATCATAGGATTTTAAATCAAAACAATTCTGCAAATCAAACATGAAATTAAAATGAATTTTAAATCCAAAATCCCTTTAAATCCGTTACATTCCTATAAATCAAAGAGACCCTTAAAACAACTTTATGTGGTTATAATTATAAAGAATTCCTTGTAGTGACGGAAATCATTACACAAAGATTATCAAGTACTTTATATACTTTTTGAACCACAATGATTTCTGAAAATTATATCATTGTCAATGTCGTGTACCACTACTAATACCAAATATGCTATTTTAACAGCTTATTACGCGTTTTTTTAGATATAAAGTTAGGGGCCGTTTATTAAATATTTATCTGGATAAGTGCTTATCATATCATATTATATTATCGGATGAATATGGTAAAGGCCAAGAACCTTACCCGATAAGAGCGAGACAATGACCAAAAGTCTTGCTCGGTAAGTGAGGGTAACGACTCTTACCACGGTAAGTGCTTACCGGGTAAATTGTTGCATACGATGTTGTTTTGATGGATTCAAATCTTACCTAGTAAGTAAATGATAGTGTTAATTTTACCGGTAAACGTTTACCGAGTAAGTGGTTGGTAAACGGCTCCTTAGTAAAAAAAAAACATTTTATGGTCGTTAAATATTGAAAATACTATTTAGAAATAATCAAAAGAAATGGTGTTATCAATAATTTGTAACAATTATCATTAATTAACTCGAATGTAAATAAGTTTATATAAACTAGAAGGGTACTTGTGTAATGCATCGAGACATATCTTGATTTCAATGTTTCGTTTTATTTTCTTTTTATGTCGATATATTACGGTTTTATGTGGTTTGAGAAAACGATAATGTTTTTATTTTTGAATAAAATATAAATTTAAAAATATTATAAATTTTTAAAAAAAATATATCGCTATCAGAATCAAATTAATTTTTCTAAAAGTTTTTGTGTTTGGTGTAATTTTCTTAATTCAATTTTTTTAATTATAATTTAATTTAAGTTTAATAATATAATTTTTATAAAGATAATAATTAAGTATTCTGTTAGAATTTAATGATTATCTAATTATATTTTAGATTTTTTATATTTAAAATTAGATGTTTATCCTGTATTTGATTATGTTTATCTGCAGTTAGTTACAATAATTCAAAGATAGAGCTTTAATAAGTTATACTTAAGCACAATCTACTTGTAATCTTGAATTTTAAGTAATATGCATCAATAAACAGTACTTCATGCATAAAAAGTAGTTTTTAAGAGTTTTTGTCAAATGTTTTATAATATAGTATAGATAAACAGTTTTTTTTATTAACCTGGATATCCAACACGCTATGCGAGCCGACTAATCTCAGGGCGACCACCTACTTTGCAGATAGCCCGGAGTCACCGCATTTGAACCTCCGTGGCCACAAGAGAATTTTTATTCCTACTTGGATTTGAACCTGGGACCTCCTGATACTTTTGACCTTTGGAGCCAAACTCAAACCAATCAGGCACCACCCTTGTGGTTGATAAACAGTTTTATATATTACCGTTGATGATTTTAAATCTCGTTTTGTATCATTAGTCTTCTAAATTTGACCTTTTTAAACAGAAATGAACATGTAAAAAACATAATAGTTATCATCTGATATTAGAACACAGAGATTGGGGGATCAGTGACATGGATGGAAATTGGGGTCCCGGCCCCATCCACTTTCGTTCCCATGCCTAAACCTACCTACACATAATACAATATCTAAATACGAACACCGCAACTTTTATATTATAATCATTCCAATCTTTTAAAAATATAATATATTATACACAACAAATATTCATCCGCATCTCTTATACTTTGGATTGGTTTGAAACCTTAATCTCTTAAGAGATTGAGCTAGATCTATTAGTAACTAGGGTACTACGAAGACAATGACCTTGTTAGCCGATAATATCTCTTGATATTATTGGCATGTATATTGTAAATATTTAGTTGTTAGAATTAATTGTATTTCCATAGTTATCTCTCTCTCTCTCTCTCTCTCTCTCTTACCTTTGTAATATTTATAGCCATGTATCTTTATGAAATGGACAAAGAATTCGTTTCTTTAAAGACCTTTGGTTAATCATCTCGACTTTATAATAAGACCATACTGTTTTAATACACACACACATATAGACGAAAGATTGTGTGAGAATAAGAGTTAGGTTGAGAAGTATAAGAAAAAATTTAAACTCTTGATCACTTTTAATCCCAAAACAACTCAAGAATTGCGTTCTAAAAGAGAATTGATCTAATGCATCTCATCATTGTTGATCTTATAGTTCTGTTCAATTATGATTAATCCAAGAATGATGATCCCTTTTAACCATAACTTTCATTTTCACCGAAACCTAACCCTATATATATAATAATAACAATAATAATTATTATTTATTTTATTTTCATTATAATAATAACGATGATAAAGAAAATAGATGCACTTTTGTCGGAGCATTTTCTTATCATCAATGAAAAAATGGTCGTAAAGATAAAGGACAAAGAATGCGACGGGAACTGAAGTTGCATTCTATACTCTACTATACACCAAACCTACTTAATTTTGGTGACATATACCTAAATTACCCTTATTATCTACTCTTAAAGTTATATGTTTCGAAATAAAAACCAACTCTTAACGAAAATACACAAATTTTTATCAAGGTTACCTGCCAAACAAATAACTGAAATATTACTTCACAGTCATAATTCCAAAACACCATAACACAAAACTTCATTCCGATACCAGATCGTAGAATTGATACACGGATGACGTATGTCATAACGGATGTCGTTTTTTTTGTCTACTTTTTAAATTTTTTTTTGTCTCAATTACATTGTTATATTGATTAACACATATCGTATACGTTTTTGTTAAGAGTACGAAACAAATAAAACGTATCCGTAAAAAACATGTTTTTAACGGAATACGATATTACAAAATTTATAATAACATCCTAATAATAGCTCTAGCAACATTAGCAACGTTCTCAATGTCTTTATTCATCTGCGTTAACGGTGACTTCTGACCACGCCCACTAAAACTCCTCTCACAAGCTTGAGCCTCTACGGCGGTATCAGCCATCCCATCCTCAGCAAACTTGGGTTGCCCACCATCTAAAGCCTGAACAGCTGAAGGCACATCCGCCTTCACCACAGCCATATACACCTGAGAGCACTCGTTTAACGAGTGTCTCAGCTCAGGATGAACCCTGTAAAGAGTCTTGATGTGTTGTATGGCTTGGGTTGCCTTAACCTTGGTTGCACCAACCATGATGAGTCCCAAGTCACTAACATCGCCACTTGAGCTCTTTGGGTTCGACAAGAGAGTTGAAAGGCATAAACTGTAAGAGGGTGTGGCCTTGCACGTGCTTTCTATCAACCTTCTATCTCCAATGACCATCAATGGAGTTTGAAGAGAGAGAAAGATGAAGAGACAGAAGAACTTCATGAAGGAATTGATGGAAGACTTTGATCCTTAGCTTTTTGAGAGATGAAGTTGAGAAGTGTTTGCTTTCCAAAGTGGATGTGTCATGCTCTATTTATAAACCAACTGGCTTCTTCTTCGAAGTTAGAGATTCATGAATTTAGAGTAAAGTACAAGTTTCAATGCATAATGTGCATGTATTTTGTATGTTTTTGCTTTGCATGTGAGCAGTTCTGTATGAAACGAATACGACAGATAAAGTTGATGGTGACGCAATTTTAGGTGATAGATTTTTTTTTATCAACCTGTGTGCGACATGATTAATTCTAGAGTGACCATTTATTTTGTAGATAGCTTGAAGTCATCGTATTTGAACCTTCGTAGTCACAAAGAGATTGTTGTTCTTTATTGAATTTGAATTTAAGACCTTCTGTTACTTTTGACTTTTAGAACCTAGCTCAAATCAATCAGACACCACTCTTGTGGTTGGTGATAGGATTTTGTTTTTAATAAAATTGTTTAATTTCTTTAAAAAAATAAATTAAATTGTTTATTTATTTGTCAAATATTTGACTATATTTTAATAAACACGAAAAAAAGAACCATATGAATCTAGTCGTATGATAAATGATTTAAACATTTATAGCATTATAAATAGTAACTATTAGCTGTCATATTTAAATGGGTCTGAGGTTGAGTCATCATCTTTATATATAACTAGTATGGGAACCGTGCGTTGCGCAGTAGTATGAATGCTTTGATTAATGATCTGATGATTGTCTATATAAATATATATTAATTGTTAATAGAATTATCAACAAATTATATTCAAATAATTCGAAAAAGTTAAATAAAATATAGTTAGTGAAATTTTAATATACACACACATATATATATATATTGAGAGAGAGATTTGTTTAGTAATAAAATTGTAAAACTAAATAAAATGAGTAATAATAACGACGGAAATATTAAGGAATCTGACACAAATTTAAGAATAAAAAATACTCCACATAAAGACATGTCTCCTTCAAATGATGATGTACATGTACTATTTTTCATCTTCAACACATACCTTGACTTTAAAAACACAATAGTGAATGGACCGGACCAACCATACGATATGTAAAAAATCACATACCAAATTTAAAGACTTCAAATCTTTATAACTCAATAGATAAAATTATAATGCAATCAAAATCATAACATGAACATACATAAAATTATAATACGACTAAACTTACGATAAGAACATACTTAAAAATATAATTCAATCAAAAGCATGATACAAACATACATAACATTCTAATACACTTTAAATTACAAAACAAACTTGCATAAAATTCTTACCTTAGATCATAATCAAAAATTCCCACAACCCAAACTTGAAAAGTTCAAATTTTCATGACTTGATATATAAACGTTAAAGAACTCGAAAACCTGCAAACCAAAAAACGTTCAACATGCATAAGTAAAAATTACATGGTGAACTTGGACATTTTAAATCTTTACCTAATACATAAGAGTTATAATGCAAACAAAAATCATGATACAAACATAAATAAAATTATAATGCAATCAAAATAATGAAACAAATCAGTATAAATATTTTACCTTATATTGCAACCAAAAAATCAAATATTGAACTTGAAGACTTCTTTTCAAATCTTCATGACATAATGCATAAAAAACTATAATGCAACCTGAATAACATAACGATACAAACATAAATAAACTTATGGGAGAAGTGGAAAAAAAAACTATGAAGATTATCAATAGTAAAATAGAAGAAAAACCAAAGAGAAAGAAAATAAATTTAGAGATGTATAAGATAGAAATAGAATTTGAGAGGGTGTGAGAGATGAAGATGAATAAATAGTTGTTGTTTATATGTATATAAATAAATGATTGATTGGAAAAGATGAAGGGTTTGGAGTTATRTCATTTGAATTAATATAGAAAGAGATGAATGGTTTGGAGTTGAATGCAAACATTTAACAAAAAAACATAAATTGACAAAAAAATATATATAGTAGTGGATATTGAGAGAATGAAGGAGAAAAAAGAAAAATGAGGTTCTAGGCTTTAGGAGAKRCCACTTCAAACACTCATGGTTTATTCTTTAATATATATATATATATATATATATATATAATAATAATACATAAGAGTTATAATGCAAACAAAAATCATGATACAAACATAAATAAAATTATAATGCAACCAAAATCATGAAACAAATCAATATAAATTATTACCTTTGCAATCAAAAAATCAAATATTGAACTTGAATACTTCTTCAAATCTTCATGACATAATGCATAAAAACTATAATGCAATCTAAATAACGAAACAAACATACATAAAATTGTGGGAAAAGTGAAAAAAACAAAAAAAAAAAACTATGAAGATTATCAATAGTGAAATAGAAGAAAAACCAAAGAACTTGAAACTTCTTCAAATCTTCATGACATATAATGCAATTTAAATAACGATACAAACATACATAAAATTATGAGAGAAGTGAAAAAAAAAACTATGAAGATTATCAATAGTAAAATAGAAGAAAAACCGAAGAGAAAGAAAATAAATTTAGAGATGTATAAGATAGAGATAGAATTTGAGAGGGTGTGAGAGATGAAGATGAATAAATAGTTGTTGTGTATAAATAATTATTGTTGATGAAGCTTAAATTCGAAAAAAGTTTATCATATCCTGTGATTATAAAATATCAAAATTTTATTCGAATTTATATGATCAAATCGTAAACACAATTTATATAATCCAATCGTAAACACAATCATATCATATGATAACAACACATCCAACAATATTGAAAAATAAACATGTAATAACAAATCACATTTTTTTTAATGAATATAATTTCTACATACCTTTTAAAATCTTTGAATTCTTCTTCAACTCTCATCTTCTTCATCCCTCACCAAAGGATTTTATATGATTTCANAGGATTAATAAATTTTAAGATTGATGTAGAAACTACCTCAAAATCGATTGAGAACTCAAAAACCCTAACTTGTTTTTTCAGCCGCTTTCCCACTCGTATCTCCGTTTTTCTTCAAAATTTCGGAGGGGTTCTCCTCTCCATCTGAAGGCAAATATATATGTGTGAGAAATAGGGTTAAAGTGAGAAGCGTAAAAAATGATATAGACTTTTTGATCAACTTTAATCTCAAACTCACCTGTAAATCACGTTTGATACGAGAATTGATGTGGTGCATCTCGATTCATCTCATCGTAATGTGCATCCAAGGTAAAAATCCACCATTATGTTTCTCACCTTACTTTCTTTCTCACCGGAACTAACCTTATATGTATGTGTCTCTGTTGGAAGAGAGATGTTATAATCAACCTTTATGGTAAAGAAAATCTCGTTAGAAATAAAGAGAGAGAAACCCAAAAATAAATTTGGGGTGTTACAGGAGTGGAGCGAATTTGCCCAAATACAAGGCAGGACCCAAGTTCAATTATTGAGTACAAAAAATGTTCTTTCACATTCATGTCCTTAAAGACAAGTTCCATGTAAAAATGGTTAGAATTACCGGTAATCAACCTGTTTTGTCTAAATTTATCAAAATAAAAGTAACAAATATTTATCCAAATTAAAAAAAAAAAGTTTCCCGTCCCGTCCAGTCCTATCCCCTTGTCCTAATCCTACCCTTTTGTCCGGTCATATCCGGTCATGTCTTATTTAGTCATGTCCTATTTAGTCATGTCCAATTACATTTGTGTATCAAATGCTACCTGATTAACCACGAGGAACTAAACCTTTCTCTATCTGTGGTTGCCTCCCCCCACCTCTTTTAGCCATATTCGTGCGCCCTCCCCCACCGCCTTTCTCCATCTCCGTTTCCTGTAAAATCCCATTTTGGATTGCCATCTCCTATCAGATCTACTATAGTCGACGTAGGGACTCGTCCGTCGGTCTCCTTTTCTTCCACCGTCTCCATCGCCTCCTCTCCTCTGCAATCGGTACGATTTCTCCATCTCGCTTTTTTGCATGCGTACGATTTCTCCATTTCTCCACTGCGTACGATTTCACCATGTAATGGTTGTGTGTGTGTAATGGCTGTGTGTGTAAAGAACTCCTCATGCTCGCACTGTTAATTTATCCTTTACCATGTAGTTTTAATAATAAAATGCTCCTCTGCATAAAAGCCTATTTCACATAAACTATTGATCTTTGAACCTACATAAATTGAAGTCTTCTCTTACAGTAAATACTCTTTGATAGCTCCCCTGGACTTTGTCAATGGAAAAGCATCCAAATCTTCCAAGTCTCAGTCAACTACTTTTGTAGGGACAATTCTTATCATTGCTAGCTAACAAAGAGCTGTTGTAGGTATACCAACAATAGGCTTACGTAACTGTTAAACTAAATTCAGTCAGGTCTCCGCCTCAAAACTATGAAGGAATAATTGTTGATGGAACCAATGTAGTTTCTGCTTTTTTGGGACTTAAATTTGAGAAATAGATCACCAAACGCAATGCACAACTGGAGTCCGTTCGCAATAGGGGTTCAGTCATAGATGAATAGAGGCCATGAATGTTCTCAAATAACATTGAACAACATTTAGGGGTAATATAGTCATTTTAACAGTCCTGTCATGTCCTAGTCGTACCAAACATAGTTCCAAACATAGGACAGACAATTAGTCCTGTCTCGTCCCATCCTGTCCTGTCTCATCCGGTCTGCATACCAAACACTACCTTAAGAGCCTCAAATGGCACAAGCAAAAAGATGGTGTTGCTTTGGTTTTTGGTGGCAAGCTTCAAGCTTGTTTCATTTCACTCAATTGGCTCCTCATTGGACGTTCACATATTTTCTACATGGTGTTTCAGATTTATGTGCGAGGCTTGGTTACATGATTGTTTTTTGGTTTTTAAAAAATCCTCGTTTTTCGTTGGAAACAAGGATGGGGATATGATCATAACAAAGACGGAGGATGATGTAACACCCCAAATTATGGGCTATTTGCATTGTTGATTTTAATGACATGCTTATGGTGTCAAGTCTTTAAAGGTAAAGATTATTTTGTCAAATAATGAATATCAGAGAAATAAGACATATATTTA